AGAATGAAGGATTAATGAAATTGTCATTACCAATGTAACGCACCATTTGGAATCAGCAACCATTACTGTTTCAATTTGGGCGCTATCTCCTGGTGGTTTGGTTGTTGTTAAGATTTAGAAATTAGAACTTTATCCATATCATAAATATGGATAAAATGGTCGCTCATAGATTTACTGTAAACCTAGAAAATAACTTCCCAGCTCACTGGTGCGTCAATCTCTGTGTATTAGAATCACCTGAGAGTGTTTAAAAATATACACTTCCCAGCCTTGACCCTCAAGACCTCTAGGGCAAGAGCCCAGGTTCATGTATTTTTAAGTAAATACACTCACCAACCTATTCCAATACATAGTAAGAGTTAATACTCACTACTCTAGCTCCTTAGATGTTTAATAAAATGAAAATTAGAAAATTTTGTTTCATATCCTGTTCCTGAGAAACATTTTAACCTTAAACGGGCTCATGAAGGACCAGTCTGTGAGCCTGGGATTATAGATAACATTCGTGTACGACTTCATAATTTACTGAGCTTTCACATACACTCCCCCACCCAGTTATGATTATTAAGTCTCTATCATACCTTTTTTTTAAAGATTTATTTTATTTATACAAGAATGGGGGCACAGGCCAGATGCGCAGGAGGGTGAGAGGATTCACCAGAGTAAGTCTCTATGAAACCTTTTTTGCTAGAAGTTTAAGATGCTGGATTCTCATGCTGTTCTACAAACATCCCAGGCTGGGTAGTTTCACCGTCAGTTCACGCAGCTTAAAAGAGAACCTTGGAACCCTTGGCATCATCCCAGCGGGTTATATTAACAATATGCAGGGGAAGCAAGCCAGCAGGGAGACAGCAACTTGGGCCCTCTGCAAATCTCTCTGTGATCTTTCCTCTGGGCTTCCTCTCACAGCCGTCACTCATCCTGTCCTCTCGGAGCTGTTTTCTGCTGTTCTCCACTGCATTCCATCCTGGGTATGATGCTGCCCTTATAGCCTCAGCCTCCAGGCTCAGGTGTGCCCACTTACGCACGCCCACACCATACTCCAGGTGTCCACCATCAGGCATGCGTCCCCCGAGTCCACGCTCCCAGGCGCCTTCTGCCACATAGGCCAGCGGCATAAAAGCCTGAGCATCTTCATTTACCCTACACTTGTCCATTCTAAAAAGGACTCCATTAATGAGGGTTTTCTTTTTAGGATTTTAAATAAGGCAAAGTAAAAAATGTTGGAAAACAGGGCAGAAATCTTTTCTACCAGAAAACTGTGCTGTATGAACCAGGACTCCCTGAAACATCCTCTGTTGAGATTATGGATAAATTCAGCCATGGAGATTCACAGACCCTGGGTGCTGAGAGTAATGATGAGAACAGAACTAGGGGGGGAATGTGAGTTCTAAACCAGTGTCTTTCAAATTCTAAACTGTATATGAATCAGATTGTATATGGGGATCTTGTTGAAATGCAGATTATGTCTCCCTAAGACTGGGATTGGACTCGAGATTCTTTAACAAGCTCTCAGGTGTCAACAATATCGCTAGTCCACAGATGACATTTTGAGGGGAAAGTTTCAAGAATTGGGGACAGGTGATTGGAAAGAGGATCGGAGACCTGTGACCCCTCACTGCCCCCATAGTAAACCTCCAAATTCACTGTGAGACTTTGGAAAAGTCACTCTGCCCCTCAAAAACTTGGATTGCTCATTCATAAAGTAGGCCTGGGGGCTGATCCAGATCAAAGATGACAAATATCCCTTGTGATTACTCTTCTGGATTACATGGAAAGACAGGACATCCTGGAGTCAGATTAGGCATAATATCTAGTCTTATAGCCCAGAAAATGCAGGTAGAATCTTCACCTGGTTAATTCCTAGTTAATTGTGAGTTGTCACAGGCTGTAAAATATGACCCAGTAATTCCTATTGCCAAAGCAATTTGGTTTAGAGTGTCGCACTCAGTATGGAGAAGTTTTGCTGGAAAACAGCGCTGTCACCATAAGAAAGCGTGATGCACCAAGGGCCCCAGTGACCAGAAAGATGAGGGAGGAAAGGAGCCAGCAGGAGGTTGCAGCCGAGCCACAGGGGCACACTCAACTCACTTTGCCATGACCTCGTTCTTTGATTTACTTCTGAAGCCTTGGTCTTCCTATGATTTCAGCTTCAGCTTCAGCTCCAAACCCAGACTCCTACTACAGAAGGGCCCTATCTGTCCCCACCCAGCAGTGGAAAAGAGACACCATAGGCAGAGCCTGCATGCATTCTCCCTTCAGGGCCCAGGGATCTGGGGTTCCTGGGACTTGCAGGAGGGCCACTGCACTTCATTGCCAGGAGTTATGTACCAGCATCTTCTAATCACAAAGGGAGATAGATGGTTCTGTAGCCAGTGAATAGAGGCGGTTCAGTGGGTGATTGTCAGTGGGCAGAATTTATCGCCTCCTCATGCAAAAGCCACGGGGTCTTGTGGCTGGCTCTGCTTTCAGATTTTCAAGGTGGAAGAAGATATTCCCAAAGAGGGAAAACATTCTTGAATACATACACCGTGTCAAGGCACTGTGCAAGCAACTCTTACTTTTAGCTCCTTTAAGCAGCACAAATTGTTACTGATCGCATTTCACAGATGAGGAGACTGAGGTTCAGAGAGGCCAAGGAAGCTCTTACAGCTTGCACAGCTAATATAGATGACCTGCCTTCTGATTCCAGGTTAATCTGACCCTAATGTCAAGTTCATAGTGCTTCATGTCACTGTCTCAGAGACACTGCATGGAGGTAGAATCTTGAGAAGCTGAGACTGGTGAAATGAATCCGTTTCATTCCATTTCTCAGTTCAAGGGAGAAAAGTCTCATGAGTTGTAACAGTCTGTGTATCTTGGAAGAAAAGATGTAGCCCCAGTTCATGTGTCTTCAGGTGGTGGCAACCTGACTTGGGGGGCCCTGAGTTACAGATGACATAGAGAAGGTGCCTGGGGCTTTTAGTACACCTCCCTTGAGGGGGGCTCTAGTTCCCTCTAGAAACAAACTGTGGATTCCCTTAGCAACTACCAATACCTTTAAATACCCCCAGGCCATGCAGTCAATTCAGTGCAAATACCTTGAGTATCACAACCTGTCAAACAGGGAGGCAGTTGTTCAGAAGTGGCTACAGGTGAAGGAGGCCCTGTCCAGGGCTGTCCTAGTTGGGAGAGGGGTGGGAGAACAGATCACAAACAAGTCATTTTATGTGAAAGAAAAATGATGAAAAGGGGCCTTGGAATACCAAGTAAGCACATAGGGACCCAATCTCTCAGCAGGCCACTTAGAAGGCCAAGTGGATTGAATTAACTTAATCAACCTTCCCCTGCCTAGAGGAACTTGAACGAAACCAGAGGGCGAGCCACCTGGAACCATGGCCTCCCTGCCTCTCATTTGCAGACACGCTCTCTACTAGGACTGTAATCAATTCCCTCCCAACTTAGCTAGCGGTTTGTATGCCAAGCTCTCTTGTTCTGGGCAGAGCAGCACTAGGCATGTATACCAGCGTGCACACAGCACACAAACAGCCCACTGCATTCAGCGGGTCAGATTTCACCACCTTCCTCCCTTCAGGCAAAGCCAAGTGGTTGGGGTTTCTTTTCTTCAGCGTTTGCCCTAGAGATGCTGTTAATGTATTTTAAAACTGCTTCCTTTGTTCTTTGGGAACTACTCTAAGATATTAACAGTGATATGACTTATGGGGGAATGTCTTCTCTTCTTTTTAAAAAAATTATTTTGGGGCCTCCCTGGTGGGGAGGGGTTAAGCACCACGCTATGAAGCAATCCACAGCCTCTGCAGCACGAGTTCAATCCCCGGCCAGCCAGGGAGAAACCCACATGGCGAGGCAGACCTTTCCTTTCTCACCTGTTGCTCCCCTCAGCAGTGTATTTCAGTCAATCTGCCTGTTCTGTTCCCCTCTCTGTCTCTGGTGGATCCTCTCAGCCCCCGCATCTCTGGCCTGTACCCAGTTCTTTTATTTAAAAAAATAACTTTTATTTTGTAGTTTGCCTGTAATGAACAGGGATCACCTTGTCACAGGGCAGGGTAAAGGGTATCCCAGAATCTCCAAACCTGCCCACTCTAAATAGGTTCTGCTATCCACCACATCAAGACAAAACATACTGTAATGTCTAAGACCTTTAATGAAAAAAAATTTTAATACAATTAGTGTGCAACAAAGACAAAGAATATAGTTTCTAAATCAAGCACCCAAAGTTACCTATCCCCTCATGAGTAAATGTCCAGACAAACAGGGTTGGCCCAAAGTAGGGCCAATGAGGCCTAAAAACCTGCCACAAGTCTAAGGCATCTTCTGGTGGGGACCCCACAGGAAGAGGCAGAAGGGACCTAGCACATCTGGGACAAAAGGAGCAAAATCAAGATAAAAGCTGCCATTTCAACCTCCCCACAGCTCTCTCACCCATGTCTATTTCAACTGTTCCAGGACCAAAAAGCAAGTGCAGCTTCTTCACATGTCTTTCTGCTCCTTGTGCCTCCTCCAGATCTCCTTTTTGCTCTCCATCCTTCATCCTTCCTTCTTCAGTCTCCTCTCCAGCTTCTGCCCCACCCTGCTCAGCTCCACCCTCCCTTGGGTGGGGCAGGGAACCTGGAACCAGTGCCACAAAAACATTAAAAGACAAAGGTGAGGTCCTTCCCTGGTGGCGCAGGGGGTTGCACGCCTTGCTGTGAAGCTGTCTGCAGCGTCTGCAGCACCAGTTGGATCCCGGCCAGTCCGATCCTGGCCAGCTGGTGTGGGTCCCACATGGCTTGGCAGACCTCTCCTGTCATGCCCGCTGCTCCCTCAGCAGTGTACTTCCTCAGCCTGCCTGTTCTGTTTCCCGCTCTGTCTCTGGTGAATCCTCTCACCCTCCCGCGGATCTGGCCTGTACCCTGGTTCTTGTATAAATAAATAAATAAATCTTAAAAAAAAATAAAAATAAAGACAAAGGTGAAACTTCCTTTGTTACACTACAACTATTTTCTAATTCTAATTTCCAGGGAAAACATGAAGGAGGTACACAGGGCCTTTGAGGCTTGGTGGCAGATGTGTGGCATGATGGATCAGAAACTACAACCCTTACGTTTAGTTCCCAGCCTTCCAGGACTTTCTAACTTTTGGACATCAAGGTTACATTCTCTGAGTCTTCATTCTCTCATTTATAGCATGGCGTAGTAACAGCAATCAGAAGATGAAATTCATGCACACATATCAAGTGGATCATCATTAATGTAACTGAAAATTGGCCAACTTCATACTCACATACAAATAAAAAAACAAACAATGGTTCTGGAATGGCCAGTTTCTGTCAGTACCTAGAGATGGGAGCCTGCCTCACTGGCACTGTTATTCTTACTTCCTGGTATTCATGTCCTGCAGGAGAGTGAATAGGGCTGAGCTGTGTAAACAGTGGGACATTGCAGAAATGGCAGGAGTAACTTGGAAGAGGCATCATAAAAGACACAGGTGACTTCGTCTTGCTCTCTCCTGGATCACTCACCCTGAGGAAAAGCAGCTCCACATCATGAGGACATTCAAGTGTCCTTACGGAGAAGTTGTTGGCGCAAGTGAGGCCACCTGCCAACTGTCAGCCCCCGCTTGCCAGTCGTGTGAGTGGCTGTTTCAGAAACCACTCCTGCGGCCTGTCACCTTTAGGGGACTGCAACTGTGGGCGACATCTGACTGCAACCTCCTGAACAACCTCAAGCCACAACCACCCAACTAAGCCACTCCCTACTTTCTGGGAACTGTATGAGGGAAGAAAAGTTTATTGTCACTTTTAGCTATTAAATTGTGGGGAGATCTGTTATGCAGCAATAAACAATCAACCCTTTGGTTGGCAGCCATCTAGGAAGATTAGGGACCAGCATGGCTTAGGGAAGAACAATTCATTCCAAGCCGATTTAATTTCCTTTCATGATGAAGTGATCTGGCATGTGGATAGGGGAGGGGAGGCAATAAGTGTATTTCTCTGACCTCAGGAGGGCTTTTAATTTGATACCACATGCCACTTTCATCAACAAGCAGGGAGGCAGGGTCTTAGCAGTGGTTCATTGATTTGGCCCCAGGAGAACTGATCTGAGAGCTAATCTAGGACTTGAGGGAAGGGAAGGAACATGGATACCAATATCAATACTAATAGGGATACTCTTCACTAATACTCAATTAGCACTGCTAACATTCATCATCTAGATACCTCCCTTTGGTGAGCCCCAAATTCTTCAGAATTCAATAATCATTTAATAAACATGGAAAATGGTTTCTGCTTCCATTGCAGTGCTTAGCTTAATCTCCTTCAAAAACTCCACGGATTTTTCAGGAAGATCTATCTGGGGAGAGGGGGACTAAAGCTGTGGTCCTTAACCATCATCATCAGCTGCTATCTCCTCCTCCTTCTCTGTGCCCCCAGCCCACACCACTTTCTCCATGTCCAAAGCACTATGAACACAAGGCCAGTCCCTAGAAACCTGTGGGCAATGGGAGGGATATTGCAGGCTGCACAGCAGATGATTTCAGTGGAGTCTGTAGCCGGTCCTTGAGACCCTTGGCTGTGGCTACTAACAGGGCCTTCTCTTGCTCTGCAGGTGACCTTGCTGGTCACTGCTCTCCTGAGCTGCCTCCCTTCCTGGACTCTCTCCTCTTCAGTCACTCCCTCCATTCTCAGACCCCCCTCCCTCCCTTCTCATGAGCTTATAACCCCCATCTCTTAATTCTTGTCACCTTTTTTAACTTAGCCAAGTTACCTCTGTATATCATCTTCCCATCAGACTGGGACAGACAGGTTTAAACTCAAGGACTCTCAGACCAGATGAAACTGCTTAACTCCCCATCTAGGTGACTCTCCCAAACCTGCCTGTTCCTTTCTTATAGTTGATGAAATCAGCTTCCAGAGTTATTTGTGCAAGGACCTTCGAGGATTTGTGCAAGGACCCAGGGGGAGTGGGAAAGATCTGGGACAACTCCCAGGCTTCTTCCAGAGAGGAAAACTATGTTGGAGATCATTAGTTGGGGGCACCTGCAGAAGTTAAATCAAGCCTTTCTGAAGCTTAGGAGGAAGGAAATATACCTGGTGTTAGTTTTCAGAGTGCTTATAAATAGGGCTGTTGCCCACGTGTCCTGAATCTCAGGACTGACCTTCCCAACATGAGAGGAGAGGGCAGGTTCACATGCCTTCCTGAGGTCATTTCTACCTTGATGATTCACATGGCAAAAGGTTCAGCACCCCAGAATGTACTTTCATCTTGCGTTATGATTTGTCACTTGAGCTGATGTGACCCCAAGTTGATGTCATTTCCTTTCCAATAAGCTCTTGACCAGAAAATATCTACTTCTCCATCTAACCTGGGATTTTTTTTTTTGGGGGGGGTGGCGGGGTTGTTCACAAACCAAAATAATATTGCAGTTTTTGTTGATATTTTTCTTCTCTCTTAGATTTTTCTTCTTTTTTTTTTTTTCTGCCAGGGCTTCTCTTCTGATTATCAGAATAATTTACATGCTTTCTTTAATGTAATACACATGCTCATTGCAAAAGAAGGTGAAAAATATAGACAACTGAAAGGAGAAAAAAAGCAATTATATATAATGTCATAACCATAGATAAAGATTAAAAATTATAGTTTTTTTTTGTCGTCTCCCTTTTCTACATAATTATTTTTTTATTACTTTTGTTTCAAATACCTTTTTTAATACTTATTTTTAAAAGTGGGGGAGGATTATACATTCTGGCTTTAGTGAAAAATTAGTTTTAATAATAGCATACACTTACAGAGTACTGGCAATGGCCCAGGCCTTTTACTAAGTAATTTATATGTTTCACCTTAATGAATCATTACAACAGCCCATTAAGGACTATGCTAATACTGTACCTACTTTACAGATGAGGAAACTGAGGCTGCAAGAATGTAAGTAACATGCCCAAGGGCAACAAACTCATAGCACAGTTGGGGAAGATTGCAATGAAGATCTTTTTTGCCTCTACATGCTGTGCTTTTAACCTTTATAATATATATAGTTTGCCTCTTTTTAGCTGTAACAGCTGCAAATGGAAATGTCACGTTGAAGATACTAGCATTCTTCTCATTTAACTGGGACTGTTTTAACTGAATCACAATGTAATCGTGGAATAAAGACCATGCTTCACTCTGACCTTCTGCAACACTCTGCTTTTAAAAAATACAGAAAGAGGAAATAGAAGGAAAAGTTAGTGTTGATTTGCGTTTGCACACACTCTCCTATATGCTGTTGATCTCTTAGTGCTTGACAAGTGTCAAACATGTATTCCAGCCCAGGGCGGTTAGCAGATGCTAGGGGTCAGTCAGTGCATATGCTGTAAAGTGACTGCTCATCCTTCTACAGCCTCTCGGTGACCACCAACTGTGTTTCTCCTGGGCACAGACTCCACTGTGTAAAATCAGCAGCCATGAATATGAATTCGGCTGAAGTAGTGAAGTGATGTTATGATTTTAACACAAACATGTGCACGCGCGCACACACACACACACGCGCACACATATTTACAGAGAGGAAGAGGGAGAGAGATAAAGAAAGAGAGAGAGAGGAAATGAACCAGTATTTCAAAATAATAGCTCAAAATGTTGTACTGGTTAAATAGTATATCTGTTAGGGTAGTTTGATTGCAAGCAACAGAAACTGACTACTGCTGATCTAGACAAAAAAATTTCTTGGAAAGATATTGGCATGTATACTAGATTAAAGACTCAGCCTGGGAGCCATCAGGCACCCAGTATTTCCAGAATGTTCTTGGCAGCAGAAATGCTCAAAACTCTCACCCAGCTGCTGAGGCTAGAATGACAACACTCCAACAGTTCTGTTTGGGGCTTGGTTCTTGATTCAGAATGGGAGCCTTCATTGGCCTGGCTGATGCTCACATGCTGAGGAGGGGCAGTACCTGGCTAACTGTCCATTAGACAATATTGGAGAGCTCTAGCAGAAGACGGCCTAAACCCCTGAGACTCTGCATTGCTATGGCAGCTGACAATGATCTGCATTTCTTAAGAATGATTAAGTCAAATACACAGACTGTGACAACACCCAAGAAATCCTTTTCTCTTCTACCCTTCTCTCTCACAGACTGAAGTTTCTCCACAGAATTCTCTCTCTAGTTATGTGCAAAACTCACCGACATCCAGGCCTTTCTACCCTTGCTGTACAAAATGTGATTTCAGGAACAGCCACATCTGCCTCAGCTGAGGCCTTGTTAGCAATGCAGAGTTCCAGGCTCCATCTCAGATTTATGAAATCAGAATCTGCACTTTAACAAGATCCCCAGTTCATTCCCATGCACATGAAGTCTGAGTATCAACAGTCTGAGGATCACTTTCCAATATTAATAACCGTTCTTAAATTTATCCTATTAATGGGGCGGACTTATTGTTTGTGTATAATAAATTGGGCCCAAGCTGCACTGATATGTTTTACGGTGTGTAGTCAACACCACTATACTGCATGTTTATAACTGCCCCATAAACTGCAGATGCTGGCTCTGGAAGGAGCGTGCCCAGGTGCTTACTGAGCTGTTTTTAATTATATGTTTATCTTTCCTCAAAAAAAAAAGTTTGAGGATCACTCATTGACACACTTTCTTCTCCCCTCCTTTTTCCATTTCTTTATAAAATCAACCTGAAAAAATCCTTCCTCCTCAGAAAGAGGGAAAGGTGAGTTGTCAACTACAAGGTTGTCTCTGTTGGGGTGACAGAGAGGAAATGAGAACATTCACTTGCTAATAATTTTCCCTGTAAACAAGGGCTAAGCAAATATACCTAGACTGTGACCTTGGAGAGGAGGGGCTGGCCAGCCAGTCCAAATGGATATTGAGGGCCTTCAAGATTCTCAGGGATGAGCTGGCTCTGGCATAGCCTGATCAGGGATGAAGGGACAGAATGGGAAATCAAGTTTCACTGGGCTTCACAGATTCATTTGGAGGTGGGGGACTTTGAGCATCCTCTCAAATGCCATGCTGAGTTATACAACAGTGCCAGGGTGTTTGTGGCTTGTCTGTCTGCTACTCAAAGAGTGCAAACAGGGAGGGGTCTGGGAGAATTGCACAAAGGGGAATGCAGGAGCCTGTAAAATTCTGAGTGCAGAGTGTTGAAAGCTCAGAGTTCAGGTACCACTGTTGGCCTCTCACCCTACTGGTCTTTGCAACATCCTAATAAATCAGACCCGAGCCATACTTCACAGTTAGAAGCCTCCGGCGAGTCATTTCTTAGGAACTTGGCAGCAGCCACTTGGCTAAAGGCAGCCATGAGGTGGAATGTCCAGGCAGGTGGCCGCAGCCAGGGATAAGTAAGGATGTGGGGGTAAAGTAGACGGGCTGGAGACAGGC